CTTCCTTATATAAAATATAAGTTGCTCCCAACTAACTTTCTATGTGCTGCCACTGTCTCAGGTTTTACACTTGGCCTTGGTTTCCTGAATACAGACTGGAGTGTTATTTGCTTTTGTTCTGTTTGCAAACCCCTTAGTACAGCATGACTCAAGTTAACTGGAACTACTAGACTCTATGCTGAAAGAAATTACTGCTACTGGAAAGAAAAGGCACTGTACAAAGAAATAATGTTTCCAAATTCTTCTCATGGTGACATTCATTTACAGCATAGGTAATGAAAGCCCTTTCACACAGGCAAGTGATTTAAATGACTAGGTTCCATGCACTAAAACAAACACTGATACCTTTAAAAAAAGAAGCATGAAGACACCTTCCATTATCTGTACCTGCTTAGATGATACAATAGCATATACAAAGTACAACTCACAAGTGGTTGCTTTTCTAAAATCCAAAAGGATTAAAGACACTGCTGGCAAGCGTGTGGTTTTGAAGGAAAGCCAAGTTCACTGAAGTCTGTAAGCACTACTGTCACTTAACTAACATCAATGGCAATTTTAAGAGTAACAATACTTCTTTCACCCAAGGACAGAGGTTTCCAACATTAAAGCAGGAGAAGATGGACACATGAAGGCTGAAGTAATGAAAAAAACATAAATTAATAAGCTTACAGAGAAATAAAGAGGAATATAAAATGAGGAAGAAAAAAAGCAAACGGAGATTTCATAGAGAACTTTGGTACAGAGAGGCAGACAGACTTGCAGCAGGGGATATGCCGGAATAAATATTATTCAGATGAATGTCAGTTCTAACATTAAAGTTTCTGTTAACAAGATTAAATGCTAAAGAAATAAATGTGGAAGTTAGAGCTGTAATCTTCAGGAGGTACAAGAACTTTCAGGAAGGAAAATTGAAAGGGAGATTCAAGAAGCAACTCCAAATGTTAAGATCTCAGCCTTTGCCCTGCAAGGTGGCACTGTGGATCAAAAATGACAAGGTACCACAGAGCAAATATGGTGCTAGAGAATATTCCAGGACAAAGAAAAGTTTATTGAGAGATGCAGACAGGATTCATTTGCATTACAGGAATTCTCTCCCCTGTGCTGAATGTGACTTCATATGCTAGAGACAATAGATTTCTTCTTTTAGCGGGTCTCCTAGAAAGTTGATGAAGTAATGTCATCCCTAGGATGCTACCCGAATAAGATATCCAAATAAGCAGGACAGAAGGATTTGCAAACCTAAAAGTAGCGTTTGAATCATTCTTCACCCAATGTATCACAGCAAGGGAAGGATAATGTACACTGCAGAAAACAAAGGCCTAACACAAAGCAGAAGAGGTCAGTTAAACTCAGCACTTAGCACACATAAGGCTGCATGAAAGGACATAAAATACACGGAGAAATAGTTTTGCATGTGCAGACTTCAGAAAACAGCAGAAAGGGAATGCACTGGCATACTGGTAGCTAAACCAGGCCCACAACATAGGCTTGAGTGGTGGAACATAACAGCCAGTAGCACCTAATGGCTAACATGCTCTCAGAGCACACTTCTGACCTGGACAAACTAGCATTCTGCTGGAAACTGTGCCTAGCCATTGCCTGGTACTGAATATATCATGGATCATTCTCAACAGGCAGTTTAGTCTCAGACACTCTGTAGGGTTTTGTTGTTGATGGGTTTTTGTGTGCTTCAGGTCCACTGAGAAGACTGATTTCTTCTGATATAATCTAAAAAACTGCTTCAATTCAGACTGCCAGAGAAATTTTGCTCCAAGGAGAGAACTGCTCCCTTTTAGACAGTCTCCAAAACTTAATTTAGCTATATCTTACTCCATATCTATGTAACAAAGGCTCCTCCAAACAAGAGAAATCTAGGATGCGTAAAGCCTAAATCAGGGAAAAAGAGGATGCACTGCCTTGCAGCAAAGAAAAATATAACAGTGGGCTCAGGTGAGCCACAGATATGCCTGCACAGCTAGTAAGACTGTTGATGATTGAATGTAAGAGGCTTTTTGAGGCAAAACTAAGACCCAAGCTTTGCACAACAGCACTGACATGTAGCAGAGCTCCTATATTTAAAGCTAAAGAAATAGACAGAATTTCATTTTAGATGGAACTTCAGGAAGTATGTAACATAGGAAAATTGAATTAACAGTAAAACCAAAGAGACACAGAGATTAAGTAATTTCCCCAAGCTCACGAGAGCCATGGCACAGCCAAAGTCTTTGTCCATTTCCTCAGTCACTAAATCAGCTTTGCCCTTCTTCAGCTGTGAAATTCCATCCATTAAAATTGCAGTGCAAACATCAGTAGTATCATTGTCAAGAGCAGTAATTCTCTATATAAACAATACCTCCTCCCATCTTCGGCTTCAAAACACATTTATTTGAAGTCAGAAAGGCAAAGCTAGCTACTTTAAAGTTTTGAAGCAAATCTGGCCTTCAAATTAGCAACAGACCAGAAGAGTGATAGTATTACTGGCTAAACACAGGCGTTAACCAAATGCACTACTATATATTCAAAAGACTGAGTTTTGAAGTAAGCTTACTTCTGAATAAGAAGGTTATGAAACTTTAAAGCAAGAAATTATGAAATTTCACAAGAGACTTTGTAGCAAAGAGTGCATATTGCTTCCAAAATAAAACCAACAAAACAAGCTTTTAAATATTACACGTTCTTATCAGCAAGGGACAGAGTGTTTGATCTTTGTTCTCTCCTGTATCTTAGTATTTGATCTGACCTTAGAGAAATGAACTAGCTATATAACAAGAGAATTTCATTCTACATATCTAATCAAGTGAGCATGTAAGAACTTAACCCAGAAACCAAACAATGAGACCAAGGGAGCTAATTATATTAAGTATCATTTTAATATATAGAAATAATTTTAAAAGTGCAGAGTTATGGACTTGTACAGAGGCAAGCAGGGAACTTGCACAGTCCTGCTGGCAAGTACTGCTACACTAACACATTCCTCAACAGGCATTTAGCTTTGAAGGGCCAAAACGCTTGAACTGCGTGTCTGTCTTTACCTTGTCCATCATTCGAGAGAAAAATGCTGAAGCATCAATCTTTCAATAACAGTAAAGCAATTCTGCAAAGTCTACTCCGCCAGGGCCCCCTCCCAGAATGAGGGAGCAGCGCCTGCTCCACCAAAAGCCAGCGACAGCTACTCCCAGGGTGGCCACAAGAGGCTGTGCGAGAGCCACGCAAAGCCCTCCTTTGCAAAGGCTGAGCTCCGACCCAAGCACCCCACCAGACTGAAATGCTGAGCAAGTACAAAAAAACCCGATGTGCTGTTTCCATAGTGCCACATCAACTTACTTGCAAGACCGCAGCTGGGACTACGTGCATTCAGTTTCTTTCAGATGCATTCACAGTGAGCACTGGCCCACAAAGCTTATGGAAAGATCAGTGTAATCTGTTCTGAGCAGCAGAGCAGTCTAAGCAAGGTACTGTTAAACAGCTAAACTATAACAACTGCTTAATCATTGAACAGCCTGTGTTGGAAGGGACCTTAAGGACCACCTAGTTCCAACCCCCTTGCCATGGGACACCAGGACAGGGTTGCTCAAAGGCCCATCCAATTGAATCACCCCTTTAGCAAATACACAGAAATATACATTATTAGCTTCAAAACCTGGTTTTGAACGTTAAATTCTGTATGAAACAAAAGCTCATCAGTAAGATGGCTCGGGTGTGAATGGGGATGTCATCTTGGGCTTCTCAAAACATCATTGCATCTCTACCAGCTGGCACTTTTTGGAGATGGACTGCAGTACAAATCAGTTTTGCATCATAGCTTCTACACTTTTATTTTGACCAGTCAATAAAGCACAGGCAGAGATAAGGTGAAGTGTAGGCACCAAACAAAATTATTACTGACAGGTTCTCTCACCCAATTCACTGTTGTCATCCACCAAAATAATTTCATGAAGGAGGTGTGCAGGAGTGCGATCCAGAACACTGTGCACTGTGCGAAGCAGGGCAGAAAGCGCTTCGTTGTAGAAACAGATGATAACACTGGCAGATGGCAGATCCGCAGGGTAGGACTTCTCTCTACATCTGCAAACAGAGATGCAGTAGTTATCACTTTATTTTCACTGAGATTTCCACAGGGCTAGGCCTCTATTGAAACTTCATAAATAACAAGCAAACATTAAATGTGTAGGAAGAATCCCTAAGTTGAATATAAAGAGCCCAGGTGTATAACACCTATAGTAGGGCTCAGCACATTAAGTTACTTTCCACATAATACAGACTTACAATTAATACTGCTAATTGTTAGAAAACAGAGGATATCACAGACTGGAGTAGAAGTAAAAAACACATATCCTCAAGACACAGACAAGAGAAAACACTAAGGGCTTGTTTCAGCTGCCAAAACACTGTCTAGTACCCTCAAGCAGCTCAGGCATGTACAGGAATGGCAAATATGACATGAGGCCTACAAAAACCCCACAGCTTTACTGGCCAGCTGCTCAAGACCAGGTTGGATATCCCAGAATATCTCAAATGGTGCTAAATACCTATCCAGACAAGCAAGGTTGGGATTCAGCCCAGAGATTAAGATGCTTATGTCTAGTCTCTGCTGTCAGGTGAGTGTAGATTTAGCCCGCCCTAAAGCTGACAAAGTGCATTTTGTCAGCTGAAGAGCTCTGCATGCTTCATTAACTGCATTGCCTGGATCTTTGCTAATTATAATAAAAGCAGAGAGAACTAACATGCAGTTATGCAAGATTAAGCATCTTAATCTGCAAGCTGAATCCCACTCAAAACAGGACATCATTCTTTCTTTTTCCTTGTCTTCAAAATTTTGCCCATGCTCATAACAGGGCACAGTATCACAGATTAATACCATACAAAGATGCCAGGCATGAGAGAACACAATAAAAAATAAGAAATTATAAATGAAAACCCAAAAGTACACAAAAAGAGTTTGAACTGGCTTGGAAGGAAGTCAGCTTTTGAAAACGACATTTCAGCAATTATGATTCACTACATTTATCCACACCAGGGAAACCAGTAGAAAAACAGATGCAGGTCTATTTATTTTTCAGTTCAATGTTGGTTTTGTCAGGGGTTTTTTATTGTTGTTATAGCAGTGGGTTCCCCCCCCCCCCAATGCATCAGACATATTATAGAAAAATATCTGCTTTTTAACTGGAAGTACTGAGAGCAGTGCAATCCTAATATCAACCAAAGACTTCAAATTGAGAAACAGAGAATCTCTGTCATCAGTCATTCTTCTATATTATCCTCTGTAGGTTTACAACAAATGTGAAATAGTACATAAGGTGAAAGTCTTTCAGTAATGCTGGAACATTTAATGTCCATCTTTCAAAGGTACCAAACAGCATCTCTTCTTATAGTTACAGTCTACCTCAAAATGAAGCTTAAAAAAATAGAAATATTAAAGCATGCTACAAGTAGCTGAGTACACAGCTAACAAGATGAGAGACATGTAATACTACTATTGCATGAAAGAAAGTTTGATTCCTTTTCCACACTGATTTTTATTTCAAGAATTATTTTTGGAATCTTGTTTCTATCAAAATAGTTGTCTGCCAATCCTACTACTCACAAAAATTAAATATGATAAAAGTTTGAATAAATGTATAGCCAATCCAGTTCTTCATTAAGCATTCTTAAGTGAATTAAGAATCAGGAAAAACAGCTGTTGTCAGGGAGTAGCAGTCTTTCTTTTTTCATGGAGCCTGGTTTCTCTGGGGCTTTACCTATCACATACCTTTTCTAGATGGCAAAAAATGAGATCTTCAGAAACAACATCCAGTCAGGGGGAAAAAAAAAAAAAAAAAAAAAAACCACAACCAAAAAGACAGAAGAGACCAAAGGATAAAAATCCCATTTAAAGGATTAAAAAAAATCCTGTTTAAAACACTCCTGTTCAAAACAGCTGAAAATCAGCCTTCAGCAACACAGGAGACCGAGAGAGTTTAACAGAAATGTAGTACCTAAAACACTAAATACATCAGGTATAATATAAAACATAAGTAACAAGTCCTTGAACACATGAAATTATAGCATGTTCTCTCCAAAAAATAGCACATACTTTGCATCTCTTGTATCGGGCACCTCCCTGTGGTATCCCAGTCGATTACTGATAAGCATATTGAAAGCATGCTTCTGGTAGCCCAAGTCTCTCACTTCCTGATCTTCTTCATTAAAAATCATTCCTGCAAAAGAAACATGTCAAGATCAGTTAATTAGGCTCAAAAATATCCTTTGGAAACAATCAAGGATTGAAATGCATGCTGTAACCTCCCCTAAACCACACCATGTTCGTTAAAAATCCCTCTAGTTTTGCAAAGTGTATTTTTGTGCAACTATTTCTGTTACCTCTCACAAATAGATAGTACTTATGAGTATAACTTGTAGTATTTATTGCAGCTGTGATAAAATGAAATCGTTCTCCAAAGACTGGTGGCTCTCTTGTGTTTACTGCCATACCAGACACATTGCCTTCATTTAAATGTCCTCTAATTCCTAACATCACCTAAAAGCCAACATCAAACAAGCAACAGAACATAGACTTTGGCACACAACACAGCAGCACCTACCCATACAAATGAAGGGTCTGTCATGGGATTTTTGAGAGAGAAAAACAGATTTACAGTGTTAAAAAACTCCTCACAATAGCAGTTCCAGTTTCATAAAGTTTTCTAAAGTTGCAGTATCATAAAAATAGCTATGAAAGAACTATAAACTTCGTGTTTATCTCACCTGGGACTTTGTCAGCAAGTAAAACAGCAACAGAGCTAGCTGTTTCTATACTGATTATTTTAACAGAAGCATCAACTGTTGCTGAGCATGGCTGGTATAAGTAAATACACTGCTAGAGGCCAAGATGAAATCCTCAGTGCCATCCTGCCTGCCTGCCTTGCCTCAGTGCCATAGGCTTTTCTCCCACTGAGCCATAAACTCACCAGTGTGGAAAGAAATGAAATACTATGGTACGTCACTCAACTCTTCTACGGCAAAAGAGGAGGGAAGCATGCCTGCTAGCCACTTCTGCAACAGTTCAGGTAGCAGAGCAATGACTCTTTATTGTCTGTTCAGCTGGCAGCACAGAATGAGATGCATATGTCCTCTCCGGCTATTATCAAGCTACACTAGCAATTTCACTTAAATTTCAATACAAGAAGCAAGCAAGGATCAGGTAATTTATCTCCTTCCACTCTGCCCATCATCTCCATACAACTTGAAATCTGCAGAAACTCATTAACAAAGGAGTTAGTCATTCACATGCTACCATACATCCAGGATAATATGTTTCACGGAATCATTGACTGATTCATGCTGGAAGGCACATCTGGTCTAATCTCCTCCTCAAAGTAGGTCCAACCAGATAAGGTTGCTCAGAACTTGCGCAGTTAGTTTTGAAAGCCTCCAGTTTTTCCAGGCATGGAGAATCTACAACCTCTTCATTTCCCTATTTTAGCATTTGACCACCATCACACTAAAAATGTTTTTCTTCTTACCTAACTGAAATCTCCTCCTCACTCCAATTTCTTATCATAACCCCATGGACCTCCAGAAAGAGTCTGGCTCCATCTTCCCTACAGCCTTCCATTAAGCTGCTGTTGACAGCAATAAAATCTCACCCCTCAGCCTCCTCTCTAAGGCAGAATAAACCAAATCCTCTTGGCTTTTCTTCATATCTCATGTTCTCCAGTTTTCAACAGCTATGCAAAAGCCAGCTGAGCGCAAGCACAGAGAAAATGAGATCACTTAAAAAACATAACAGAAAATCATTAAAAGCGTTAAAGCTTTCTTCCTTTTCAAACAAGTAGCCCTGTTGGCCTTCAGAGCACAGCTGTGTCACTACCAGTTGTGTTTCGGCAACAAAGTCTACCTATAGGTGCAAGAGGACCTTCTAGAAGGAATCCTGTGCATCCACATTCCCACTAGTCACATTTACCACCCCATTGTTTTTAGTCGTGAGTACAGCAATGGCAATGCAGCTGCACTATCAAACACCTCAAGAGCAGATGTCTTGACATTTATGCAGGACCAAGTGGGAACCACTGGGTAGTGAGTGATACATGCAGAAGATGAACGATACACCCACATAGTGTGTCTTGTGGTGACTGGCTATTGTGCTCCTGGATGAGTGCTCCCACTGTGGATAAGGTGAGTTTACAGTGGCAGTGCCACTCTTCCAGCACTAGCAGTCCAAGGATTAAGTCAGTCCTCCTTTAAACCATTGCATTTCCAAGTAAGATTTCCAGACACCCTGCTCTATTATTCTTGTATACTCAGCATTACAGTAACACCGTGCCACCACGTCAACTTAAAACTTTCCCTTCATAAAGCACAAGCTCAAGAAACACATACCAAATGTTTCATTCTACATTCCATCCATATCCAACCCCTAACTACTTTTTGCTTCTGGATATGGGTAAGAAGGGGTGCTATTATTTTTCAAATGTTCTCATAAAGAACAACATCCAGAAACAGAGGCAAAAGGCTTGAAAGATTTCAGTACAAACAGCAGATAAAAGTCTTTGAAAAATAAGGGCTTTACAATCAAAACATCACCTTAGGCTTTACTTCAGCAGTGTTATGTGGCACTCTCAGACTGAAATAAAAAAGATAGATTGTCCTACCAGATGACAGCTTGTTTTTGGCTATCACATACCAACTTTCTTTTCATTTATTTTTGCTTCGTGTGTTTATCACTGCCCTACCCTAGATAGACAGGAAGCCCTTTCCTGCAGCACCTGATCTAGTTCTAACAGAGAGCCAGCTGACTCCTGATGATTCATGTAGAATTTATCCTGGCACTGTAATTCCCCTTGGCTTTCACCACTCAAACCAGTCACTTGGTTTGAAGATCAAGCGATTTTTCAGTTTAAAAGCTCCTATTTCTTTCCTGGACCATACTGAATAGTTGGAAAGAAATGGCCATCTCTGGACTGGCCTTCACCTCACTTAGCTCTCATGATAAACATTTGTAATGCCACAGGGCAATTGGCATTTCTCCTACATAGTCAACACAGGTCTAATGATCAACTCAGAAACTGAAGTTTGGTAAAGTTCTATAAACTCTTGAAGCTTTTGATCCACCATTTATCCAAAGCAATGACAGAGGATTTGAGTCAGATACAAGTATTAAACTCTTGGCTATAAAGGTTACTACGCCTTATTTCCCAAAACAGCAGCAGAAACCAATACCACACCAGTATCTGCCCCCAGACTTAAAGAAAGTCTGCAAGCCAACGCGCAACATGCCTCAGTTTGCACGTCTGAACACAGCAGTGAATAAGCTGTAAGCAGTTAAATATACAAAGTATTTTAATTTGGAAGGCAAGTTTGGAAGACAAAACCAAATCATCTCATTGATGAAATATGCTCCAATGAAACACAGACTTTTGTTGGTACAAATTAAGCATGATTTGGCCCTAACCACTGTCATATCAATAAATCTTTCATTGTATTTTTCTCCCAATCACATTTCTTGTACATGATTTCATGCTTCAAGGATATTCTCCAAATCAATGGGTACTCTTCACTATGTGTTATTAAGCTATTTTTAACTACTGCAGACAAAGAGAGTGTCTCTGTAGCTAATCAAAGTTTATGTATTTGAGGCCAATCAATATAGGAGTAAGCTATGAAACAAGCATACACTGAACCTTCCAAAAGGAAGAATTACATCAAGAGTAGACACCTTGCTGTAATCCAGTCCCATCACTACCACTTACACAGCACAGCTCTAAATGTCAGGAATGGTATATTTTGGATTAAACACAGTAGAATAAGATTCAATTAATTCTTAATGAGGAGAGCCACTAGTATCACTTGCATTTTAACAAACCAACTTACTTCATTACACAATTTTCTCTAAGATCCTTAAAACGAATACACAACAAAAACCACTTGATATCTCATTTCACCTACTATTTTAATAAGTTGTCACTAACACTGTACACCACTTACCCATTTCAGGAGAGAATTCAACCTCCCCTTTAACTGGGTCCTGGACATGATTTCCAAGGTGATTTCCTATCTTATTCTCTTTCTGTTGCAATTCAGGTATATGAATTGGCCCCCGTGTAAAACGGGGGTAGAATTTTTTTGGAAATGGCCTCTGAGGTTCCAGCCCCTTGACGGGCACATTCTTGAAGGATTGGTTCTCTTCACTGAAGTTGAAATACACAAAGAGCAGAAGTGTCCAGGTCACAGATGTGAAAAGGCACCCATAGCAGAAATAGCGTAGTGTGACACTTCCCATTGTAGACTTAGCATCGTTGAGGACCCATTCTCAATTACCTGAAAGAGAGTGAAAACACATATATTGAGTGGTGCCTGGTACCTCATCAGGAACATCACCAAGAGCCTAGTGATATACCACAATTAAAGGTAAAATGATTAATTTTTCCTCATAATAGTTATATAATTATCTCACTTGCACAACAGTATATTCCTTGCATGCCTGCATTTGTTTAAACGTATCACTATTTAACTAAAGATACTACACACAGGGAATTGATTCTTCACAGAATCACACAGAATGGTTGACATCAAAGGGGACATCTGGAGGTCACACTGTCCAACCCCCTTGTTCAAGCACAGCCACCTTGAGCCAGTTGCCCAAAAGTAAGTTCACACATGTCCATTTCTGTAGTTCAGTTCTTATCCTAAAGCATGGAATGAGAGAACATGGACTCAAAAAGCTACATAGTTCAGTCCTTCTTGACGCAAATTTAAAAACAGCCATTATGAGCATCCCAGAAATTCCAGAAATCATGGGATGCAATTTAACAATACATAGCTTTAAGATCATCACATTTACAGATACTCTTCTCTGCAGAAAGAAACAGATGTGACACAGAGAAAGAGCAAAAAGCTCCAAGGTAATTTACTGGGCTTTGTAAGCCTCTGCAGACTCCAGAAGAGCTTCCACACTCCCTAGAGGAAATGTCCACCTACAGCTGGAAGAAAGCAACCCAGCCCAGAGTTTCACTTTAGGCACCCATCCACTAGCACAATTTCCCCAAACTATACTGAAAATTACTACCATAAGAAATCCCTGAAATGAAGCATATGAAGCTGGTGATAAAATTCTATTTACAGCCCAAGAGAACCAGGTAAACTTCTGGAGTTTTTCAAATCTAAGAAAGGCTAAAAACAAATAAACAAACAAACAAAAAAACAACCACACAAAAAAAATCACAAACAACCCAAACCAAAAAGCCCACAAACACCAACCAATATAACCAAACCCCAAAGACTATACATCTCTGTTTCCAAAACTGAGAAAAACACTAACTCGAAGAATTAGATAGCTCTCATCATTAGCTAGACACAGCAAATCCTCTGCACAGTAAGAAGAGTCAAGAAACCATTAAATCACCTTTCAACTAGCAAAACATTTGTTTTAAACGAAAAAACAAAGTATTGGGGTGGCAGTCAAGCGTTTGTGATGATGCATTTTTCAGACTTGTAAAAGTCAGAAACTACCAGAAATCTTCAGGTCAGTCCGGCAAAGAATAAACCAGAACAATATTTATGAGTACAAACACATTATTCCCTTCTCAATATGGAAAACTACTAAAAAGAGGTAAAAGGCGTTCATTATCCCAAAGAAACCTATAAAGATCCTGCTTATTTTCACAATGTAATTCTGAGTCCTAAGTGACTTACATCCAAAAAAACATGTCAAAATTCCAGCTCACATTTCCCAGACAGCACCGGGTCATTGCCTCCCTTCAAAAAGAAAATATCCACAAAGTAAAATAAAGACAAAAAAAGAAAACCAAACCAAAACCCCAAAGAAACCAAGGCACCCACCCTCCCCCCCCCCAAACCTCCTAAAAAAATAATCTACACACTATTCTTACCACGCCAAATACCCTCACTTGCAAAGCAACAATCTCTGCAGCAAAGCCCAAGAAGCTTAACAAGGTCTTAACCAGGTTTGAAATCTCACACTGACCCTGTGCACACAGATGAATTGCATGCTCTGTGAAACAGGCTCTAACACTGTCACACAGAAATCCTCCTGCTTAACTGCAGAGCCACGAAATTCCCCAGGCAACAAATGCTCTGGGGCAGAAATGATTCAAAACCCCCTCATTCTGGCTAGCACAACAGGTTTACTAGTTAGAGACGTACAGCTCACCAATCCCCAATGCCTTACTCCCTGTGCTAACAGAGGTCAATGATCATACAAAGGTGAATCTAGGCTCAGAAAAACCACATGAAGCTGCAAAGAAGCAAGATTAGATAAACAGCTATATCCTCTCATTGTAATAATTATTCTTGCCAGACAGTGTGCAAACAATTAATACTTAGCCATAAAAGATCTGGGTGCTTGCCAGGTTGGGTTGGGTTTTTTGCATGGCCACAAGGAGGTCATCTGCTGTAAGACTTGTCCAAGCCTAACATACTGCTTCTCAAAACCTGCTAGAATTGTTTTTCCATTCACTATGGTAACACAGATGCACAACCCTAACATCATGGCACATGCACTTACATTACGGAACAGAACTGTTCTACTAAGATAAAAATTACTAACAAAAAGGAACCTTTTCATTTCAGAGCTGTTTGAGGATACAGCTACATTGCAGCTTGCACAGGAAAACCAAAGATCATCCTTGCTATCTCAGGTATGCAAAGCAGAATTCATCAGAGCTGCTTGCCTCTCATTTATAGCTGAGAGCTCCACCTTGTTTCTAACCTCATTAAAGGTAAAATTTGCTCTGACCAACATTAGGCATACTCAAAGACGAAGGGATAAATCAGTAATCACTAGACTCAAAATATGGCCACCTATCCCTTCCAACTCCAAAAAGCCCTCTGCCCTGGCTGAAATCACACAGTTACCATTACAAAGGCAACAAAATGCAAACCTGAGCATGGTATTATTTCCACATGCTTCTTGCTGGAGCAGAACTGCTTCACCTTCTTTTCTCCTCCACTGTTTTGTAGGAGGATACAAAGGTTGAAGTACTGCATGTAAATCAAATGGCAGAACCTCCACAATTCAGAAAACTACACCCTTTCAGTAGCTTGCTATTCAACCAAGACATTTGGTAATTTGTTCAGCAAAGACTCATTATTCATTTTAAGTATCAAATGTTTTGTTAAGACACCTAGTTTTGAAGGCAGAATTAAAAAAAAATAAAAATTAAACCCTAACTATGAACAGCACATTGAGGCTTACTAGTTTATTCACCAACAGACATGCATTTACACAAACACTGTCCTATGGATTTCAACCGCTTCTTCCTTTTAAGCAGCTGCAGGAGTCATAATCTGTGTCGGAGCTGCACACTTCAGTTTTAGACAGATTTATGTTGAGCATGACTTCTTACAGATGTCTTTTAGCAAAGAAGCCACAGTAACTTTTCAAGTCCTAAGAAAAGTCAGTCTTGCTTGGGACCTGCACCGAGGGACCAGAACCTTTCAGTACCACTGCGGTCATTTTAGCATGCAACAAAAAGATAGCCACTTTGATACACACAAGAGGGAAGGAAGAGAGAATACTTCAGCTGGTCACAAGGCCCCAGTTCAGAGCAGTCAGAAGCAGCCACTTGCCCCTGGATTCTTATCTCACCCATTTCCCTCTGCAAGCCATCCAGACACAGTGAATAAAAGCCTTAACCTGTCCAGGCTCCTATGCTCTCCAGTTCTGTGAAGTCTTCTAGGAAACACACTTTGCCAATTTACCCAACAACTGTCTCTGATTGCCTATGCATGGCCTTAATGATGATTGTCTTGAACATCCATCCTCTTCCCAGTTGGTTTCTCCAAGCAGAGTTTTGAAATTCAGCAAAGCCAACCCATTCTTCTTTTGTTTTGCCTTTTCTCTCACTCCCTTTTTTATTTAATGGAGACAAGCTGTCCCTGAATACAGGAGATGCAAAGGATATTCCTTTCAAATCCAAAGTATTAGTATCTTTCTCAGCCCTGATAGATGCTTCAAGAGAAACAGATAATACATGTTAACTCAACAGCCCTAGAGCTCTGCTAATGCAAGCAGAGCTAGCAGGTTTGAACAGTTACCTAGAAACGAATCGGAAAAGCAGAATTGCTTTACTCAGATATTAACATCAATTGGCTTATAAGAAAAATGTTCACATATGCAAATAAATACTGTAATGCTGAGTCCAGTCACCAATAAATTGCTATTTGGACGGTAGAGTTAAAACCCACTTCTATGTATTAATTCAAATGCAAAAGAAAAACACTAATTGCCATTAAAAACAAAAAAATTAAAAAGAAAAAAAAACCCTACGATTTAATCATATGAAGTGGAACAGTTTCACAATACAGTTCCTCACAGATTTTACTGGTAATTGAGACTAGGTTAGAAGGATCTATCCCGTTTCTCCCCTTCATTTCTGAAAAGCAACACAGCTACCAAAAGTAAGTTTCCAAAATACCTCACACAAGAACTCATATAGTGAAAAACATCCAGAATGAATACAACATTTTATCTCCCTTGGCAATGTAGGAGCTTTCACAGCAAATAATAAATAACACTACCTTTAAGTGTTTTACAAAGATTCATTCACATCCACAAGATCCTAGTGATAGATGAAGTTTATGGCTGTTTGCATTGGTATACTTAGGAATCCAGAGATACTTCAATATGAGAAACATAAATCATTCAAGGTGGCAGAATCTCCTACATCAGGAAATTACAATCCATTTTGGAGGCAACTGGGGTGACCAAGAAAGGAAAAAAAATACCTTAGAACCTACCCCCATCAGCACCAGCTCAGAAGAGACCAAAACTGAAAGACAGTACTCCAAGAATTTCTAACGAAACATTCTGCCTTTCAGTGTCTGTCTTGTTGCTCTGTTTTGACTGTCACATATTTATTGCCTGATAGTTTTCAGACTTTGGCAAAGCCTTGGAAACTAGTCTGCAGACCCACATGCCAGAAATGCCAGAAGTAAAATATTCCTCTTTAATTTCCATGAATTCCAGTACAAAAGTCTCAGTTCCCTGCACAAGCAGTAAATCATTGATTTTTTAATTTATTTTTAAGAGAACTACAGCAGTTTAATATTAGTAACTTAGTAAAAGTCTATGAAAGTCGATCAATTGTAAAGCTGGAAAAAAGCCTCCAGGAACCTACCTGTCAGACTTGAGCTTCAGTAATGACTCTGCAGTACTGCTTTCCATGTTGCACCAGCTTCTTTCAGCATCCTTACAGCACTAGCATGACATTCATTTCATACATCGAGCCCAGAATCATTTACATTCACTTAATAATCAGCCCACCAATGATACAATTTTGTTCCCCCAGACAGCCCAG